AATGGCCCAATTTCCGTATACCTTTTTGAAAAAAGGTTAATTGTGGCCCAATTCCCGGGCGCCCGAATTACATACCTAAGTATATCTTTAAAATATTGTACTAATGAATACGGAATAATATATTTATGGCCTATTACCGTTTTACCTACGTATTTTTATGTAAAAGTCGCTTGTATAAAAGTTTGGTATATTCACACACCTAGTATGCGTGTATGACACATTTCAGCATTTGTGCCATTTGGCTAGTGGCTATGTATTATTCTATTATGTACAAAAATGATCTATTAAGTTTAGTAAATGGAGATTAGACCCGGCAAGCTGTAGTACAGGACAATTTTTAGTTAATGACAATTAGTATCTTAGACAGCTAAAAAAAGTTAGGTACTCTGCTCTCTTGCGGATAAAATAAAAATAATAATTATAAAAATGATAAAAATAAATAAATTTAGGAATTTATACTTATATGTTATATTATCCACAATTCACAAGTGAACTGAATGACTTTTTTTTATAACAGCCTGAGTGCCTGACTGATTATAAAATAATATAATTAACATTCATAAATGTAGGTAGTTATTTATTTTTTTATGTTCATTAAATGTACTTATTATTTTTTCCAGCAATAAAATTAGGATAACTTTGTCTTATACCAACTGATGATATTATTATTATTTAATGTTTTTTTAATATTTTTTTTATTTAGTTATTACACGATATTATTGGTAGGTACTAACTGTCTTGTATAATTTAAATATTATAAGTATAAAGTAATAGGTAGGTACCTAGTTGCTTTGAAGATTTTTTCCTGAGATTTTATTTCCAGTAGTTTTTTTTTGATAATGCCGGAAAAAAGTAATTATAGTAAGAATCTTATTAAATATGCCATAAATACTGTTAAATAATGTTTTAGGGCAATACTATTCCTTCTATAAGATATATAAATTACTATATAAAACTCTTCTGCAACCTCTCTGGGTGTATGGAGTAGTAATCTGGGGTTCTGCTAAACAATCTAATAAGAGAACTATCCAAGCCTTCCAGAATATCTGCTGTCGTTTAATAACTGGAGCACCCTGGTATATCTCCAACAATGCAATTAACTCCGACCTAAGAATCTGCTCTGTTAACGAAACTGCTACCATATACTACAAACGCTTCCACGCAAAACTCCAATCCAACTCCAACCAGCTCATCAGAGACCTTGCTACACCAGCACTACCCGGAAATCCAACCAGACGACTCAAGCGGAACTGGTGCCGCGACTTAAAAATTTTATAAATTGTTTAAATTAAATGTTATTGTATAAATTGTAAATGTTATTGTAAAGCCACTAGGTGTCCCTAATGAGGGATTTCCTACCTTGTCATTAGTTCATAGTTTTTCTTTCACTCACCATAATTATTACTTATTGTACACCCCTGTATAGATTGTAATATTCAAAATAAAGTCATTTTTATAAAAAAAAAAAAAAGATATATAAAGAAACCTAAATAGGTGCTTATAAAACTATATAGTATACAGGCGAAGGTAATATTAGTGTATTACCTAGGGTTACTAGGGTTCAAGGGTTACTTATAATATCATTGAATATAAATACTATTTATACAAGTATTATAATAATCAATGCTAATACCTAGCTATGTCCTATAAGGCTATTTCGACTATTTACCTATAGCTGTGCTTATTACTTTACAACTTTTACATCTGTATCTTGTTGGTAATATCTTGAGTTTATCAGTGCTCGAATTTGGAAAAATTAAGTAGAGGACCTCAATCCAACGATTTAAAAATGGCTCTGCCTCTCCACTGCTATACCTATTTTTTAAATACTACATTTCAGCTGCATAATTTCTAAATAATATAATATATTGTTATATCTAACTAGATATGTACCTAAGTGAATGTAATGTGGCATATATATGCACCAAATTTTCGAAACTTTCCCAATTACATTTCATACTTAACATCAAAGATTTACATTTTTAAAATTTCCATTTTCATAGGAATAACCTACATGTTACAGCAGGTATGAAATAAAACAATTGATAATTATCTGTGATTCGTGGTTCGGGTGTATGTTAACATTACTCATAGATTTTTGATAACACAATAAATTAAATTATTCTAGGTACATACAAAATGTAGTTAGCAAAAAATAAGAAGGATAAAATATAAACAAACTATAAAAATAGGAAGGTACCTACTCTAGGGTTGACTACCGCGGTCCTATAGTAGCAATTTAATGTGGCGCGCGAGTAAAATTTATAATTTGTATAAAAATAGACATTATGCATAAAAATCACGAACTAAGATATTATATGGACTGAAAACGGCGGATTTAAAACGTGGTTTGTTTGTAGATACCATATTAAATTAATATAACTGACAGTTATTAACTGAAATAAACTAAATTTGATATGACTTCACTTTTGTTTAAAATAAGGTAGGTATATTCAAATTGTGACCTGTGGAAATTTCATATTTATTTTTTGACCCTTCATATCAAAAAGGTTGCTGACCTCTACTTTAAACCACAGAAAAGATAATAAACTAATATAAAAATTACTTTGATATAAAAATATTATAAATTGTAAAATTCATTAAATTTTTGAAAACAATATAAATCCACATTTTAATAAAAATTATTTTGTATGTTTGGACATACCTATTTATAAACTACTCGTCAAATAGGTATGCAATTTTTATACATCGATAAGTTCTGCTCAAAATATTGTATATTAAAATAAGGAACAAAAATGAGTTAAAAATAAGGTGACCATTGAATTGGCTCCCAATATTAGGTTAGGTACCTACCTAGTCAAGACTTGAATTGGCTCCCAAGACAGGCAATATTGAATTGGCTCCCAATATAATTTTCAACAAGTGGTTCCCAAAATATAAAAGTTCAAAAAGTACGCGAAATAAATTAAAATAAATTCAGTTATACATTAAAATAATTTAAAATACAAATATTCCATCAAAAATATTCACTGACCTGCACTGTTTTAATATTATTTAGTAGACTTAAATCTGTGTGCGAAAATTTTTATACATTCAAATCTGGATACTATACTTTTGTCATATTTATGAATTTGATTGTCTATAAATTGTATTTTTTCTTGTATATTTTTTTGTGTTGTCTTTTTACATTGGAGCTTCTTATAATAATTTCAGTATCCGCTTGAATACCATACAATACATCCATGAAATTGAAAATATTTGTGTGCGTAGAATAAAATTGGGAATAAAATTTTGAATGAAAAGATTCACATGAATTAGTGGTACGACTAACACTACTGCTTTTTTCTGCCCAAATTAGAAATTTGGGTGGAAATAAAGAATTATTGTCAATATAATTTTCAACTAAGTAGGTAGTCCATAAATTTGGGTGTATAAATACGTTATCTGATTAACGAATTGATAATTTGAAGACTAACCGGCACTGTGCCGCTAAAAATATTACAGTCGTCTACTTTTTCAACTTTTATATTTTTAACGTATAGTTGACGTACCTATAGTTGAATTTATTTTCAAACAATTTTGATAACCAATTGATTTATAAAATAAATGTGTAAGGAGCCAACTCAATGCATAAATCAAGGGAGCCAATTAAATACATACAAATGACGATTACCTGAATTAGGGAGCCAATTCAATAACTCCGAAAAATAATACCTATTTGAAAGAATATTGTTTTTTAATTACTTAAATTATTGAAAACAATTTTTCAAAAATGTTAATAGTTTTTTAAATTCTGAATGTATTCCCCGTTAAATGTAGACCACTGGTCGGTAATAAAATTATTATTTTGGGTAGGTATTAGATACTTATTACTATGGTCTATGTTAAATATATAGACTATAGTTATAGATACAACGTGTTGATTTTTTAAAAGTAAACAGTAAACACGTATTTTCTTGAAAAAATAAGACAATCCATGCATGTATCACGGTAGGTGCATAATATAACAATAATATAGGTAGGAAATTAGGTAATCTATTATAAATTATAATTATTTGGGGGTAACTAGGTACCTAGTACCTACTGGCTTCTACCTACTTATATACATATACCTAATGGCTGCTATACAATATACTTTATTACTGCAGTCGTTTAACGTGCCTCCTGGTTCCTAAGGTACTTACACGGCAGCTATACAGTATAGACTATAGCACTATAGGTACCGTGGTCTGTGAGACGTGAGTATTGAGTATTGGAGTAGGTACTTTACTATACGTCTATACTATACATTGACATTCGAGTATTCGACTATAGTACAGTTGCAGTACTCACAAAATAAAGGCGTTTTGCCGTAAAGGCATATTATAATAATATTACACACGAAACAAGTATTTAATTAAATTTATTAAACATATTGAAACTTATAAGCACACCGCACAGATTATAATGGTGTAGGAAATTGTATAAATTGAGATGTAGGTATAATAATTTATTATTGTACAATTAATATTATGTATAATATTAATAAATAATAAATAATAATAATATGCACTTTCCATATTGTATATTACATAATAATATCATAGTACTTGTTTTGTCTTGACGTCTTGTAATAATTATTATTATTATTTAAAAAGAATAATCATGATATATTTACATGATATAATATTATCATCACAAGCACAATGTGAAAAATAAGCAAGTGACAACATGATGAAGTCACCTAAATAGTAAATAATAAATAGTGGGTAAATATAATAATAATATGTCATAACAATAATAATACTACTTACTAGTAATAATAATAATAATAATAATAATAGTAATAATAATAATAATAATAATAATAACAATACATCATCCCGACGCCAAGTCGAGCAACGCCGAGCGCGAACGACGGCTTCGGCAACGGCGAAGTGCGTCGAATCCGAAAATTGCCAATAAACATATGATTGGCGGCTTTCCGTTGGCGGTGTGGAACGCGCGCGCGGCGATTGTCGTGTAGAGGGGTGGGGGAGTCGCCGACAAGCTGCTGCCGCCGCTGCTATCGCGTTTCGGCTCGTGCAGTCGTGTTATCAGCGGGTGGCCAACGTGCCCGTTTGCAGCCGCAGCTCTAGTTAAATTTTTTTTTTTTTTTTTTTAAAACCAAAATTTCAAGCGCAAAAAAAAATCGTATGTTATTATATTACATAAAAAATATAATATAATATATTGTATAATATTCCCAATTATAAAATATATTTATATATATATTATATAAATAATATTCCGCGGCGGTCTTCTGTTTGTCGGTCGTCGAAATCGCCTATTTAATATAATAATATTATAATATTCAAACGTGTGCGTTTTCGATCAGGAGAGGTTCGCGCGCGGCATACCATTATTCCGCACGGGACCGTTCGTGATATTGTATAAATGGGGGAGTACAAATTTAGTGTAAATTCTAGTTTAAGTTCTATCGAGTACCAATCGTCGGTGAACACGTCCGGGCTGCCGTCGTCGTCGTCGTCACAGTCGTATTTTGCCGACGACGGCCCACAGCAGCTGCAGGACGTTGCCGTCAAACAGCAGATCTCACAGTCACCGGTAAACGGCGATCACCAACAGCTGCCCTCCACCAAAGGTACTGTCAAAGAAGATTCTGTGTTGGCAGCGTTAGGTGGTGGCGGTGGTGATAAATCATCGGGCGGCCCACAAATGCAGTTACCATCATCTTACAACAATGAAGCTAGTCTTAATGTGATAAACTCGTCGACCAACTCGTCTACGTCTAGTCTATGGTCAGCGTCCGTTGATGATACATTGATACACGGGTTAAATGCGTCTGCGGCTGCAAACAACGCAGTAAGTTATGCATTAAAAAATACAATGATTTTATATAATGTAGAGTTAACAGTTCTGTAGTGAGTTTTCACCTACCAAAAGTTTAGATATTATTATGTATCAACCTACCTTTTTGTTTAATTTAACATTTATTTTTTTCTTGTTTTCTTGATAAAACAATGAATAAAAATAAACCTATTCCTTGTAATTTTTTTCTATTCAATACTGGGCTTAATACTTTTAAATGTTCTATGCTTACCTATGAACTTTTATTAGGGAATACCTTTTTCTATAAGAATTATTTTAAATGTATTACATTAGGTACTTATAGGTTACTTATTTATAATTTATTAATGTTAACATTTTTTACATATTTTTAGCAATATAATTGTTAATATCTTACCAAGTTTATATGTATTGTGTGTACCTACACTGCAATTAGTAATTGTACCTACATTATATTATATGTACACATTTTTGAAAAATTTACATTTTATAAATAAAATATTAAGAAATTTGTATACAGTTGTTCCTAAAAACAAGTAGTTAGTACAATAGTACATGCTGTTTACTATAAACAATTCTTTAACTGCAGTCTATTAGTGTCAAATATTTGATATATTAATATCCTCTAATAATATAAAGTATGAACCATTCTTAGATGTATAATTTTGTTTTTATTTTTTAAGATTACCTAGGCGTTAGTTGTACAATTTGCTTAACAATATTTGGAAGTGCACATTTTATTATTGTTATATTTAAGCCTTTTTAAGGTCTCTAGCCCCCTAATCTCTGCCTGTATGTGTAATGTAAGTTTTTAGTAGATGATATTTAACATTATTTTAGAGTATTTATTTGAATATAAACATAGTGACTATTTATAATATTGTTAAGTATTAAGTTTGATAAAAACATATTATTTTTTAGTATTTCTAAAAAATTAGAATCTATTTAGTAAAGGAAATTAAAGTAAAGGAAAACAATGGAAATTATGAATTTAAATATATTTATCTCTAATACATGCTTATTTACTGTTTACTGAAAAAATAAATTGTAAACTTTATTAAGTTAGTATACATAATTATGTCTAACTATGTTTTACCTATCTTTATTCTTTAACCATGTGATTAAATATGTGTTGAATTTGGGAGGAAAAATGATCGTATTATTACTTACAGATGATTAATAGTGACTAGTGAGTGCATGTTATACTCATAATTTTGTATACCTAACTTAGGGAATTTAAAGATTTCAATAATAACAATATTTACTTTTATTTAATGGTGTTAAATTAGATGAAAATTGTTAAAATATGTTAAACCTAATTACATTGCTTAACAATCTTAGTTCATTGAATACTTGATTGTACTTAAGTTCAATTATTTATTTAAAAATAATAAATAATAATTTATTTTATTATTGTGGTATGTATTATATTGATTTACTAAGTATTGATTAAAATGCAATCAATAGTTGTCTAACTTGAATAAAACTTGAATAAGTTAATTTTTTCAATTTTTATTTATATTTATTTACATATTTAACGTAAATGAATTTTTTTTTTCAAATTAGCAAAAATTGTTATACAATTATTGTAAGCAGGGTTTGGGACTTATAGCACTTATAATCATTGAAATAAGCACTTACAAATATTTGACTAAGCAAAAAAAGCACTACAAAAACTATCAACACAATTTTTTTCTATATTATTGTTTCATTTTCATCATTAAAAGAAAATCAAAAACTTTTAGCGGTTTTGAGTTTTTGAAACCATTTAAACTTTTTCATTATACTTCCCTTAGATTTTCTGAAAATAAAATAAAATTTTGTGAAGAATAATAAAAAAAATAATTGATTAATTTGGCCAATTAGTAGATAAGCTAGTAAATACAAGTCCCATAGGTAAGGAGAAAAATTATTTTTAGTTTGTTACCGTGAACAAAAACAAAAACAAAAAAAACCAGAAATTCACTAAAATGTCTACGTTTTAGTTAGTGGTAGGTGTCATTATAAATCATAATTTAACAAATATATGCAAAAAAGCAGAAGAGATGATCAGAAAAACTGAAAGTATTCATTTCTTTTAAAAATTGGTAAAAGCAATGACAAGCATTTTTAAATTTCATAATTTAAGTTGTTATAACATGACATACTCTTCCACTGCTACATTATATGTCAAAACCATAAAAATAGGAAAATGCTATAAGACCAGAGCCCTGATTATAAGAAATGTCTATTTAAACAAGGCCAACTATTTATTTTTTCAATACCTAATAAAATATGAACAATGTACATTTTTATAAAATACATCAAGAAAATAAAGCTTATCAACTTTTCAGTTTCATTTATTTTATTTGTTAATAAATGTGTATTTAAATTCTAAACTGTCTTTATTATAATTATCCAACCAATGAAGTTTTCATAAATATTTCTTATTGTCTATGAAATATGAAAAAGAAGCACCAATCACTGTCATATTTACTAAGCGGCTTATTTGAGAAAGTTCTACTTATTTATGTAAATGACTGTCATTGTTATTTTCAGTCTCATTCAAGAATTAAACAATACCTATTTATTATAAACTTTTGTTAGACTTGAACATTTTTCCTGTACTCAAGAAAAATGATAAATTTAATTTATATTTGACACAATTTTAATTTTGGTGATAAGTTACATAGGTATATGGTTATTTGAAATTATATGTGATTAATTTTCAACTTAAATATTTTAATATTGAATGTTTTTAGAATTTCCCAAATACTTTGTACAATACTGGCCTGGGACCTCATCATCAGCAACAGCAACCACAACAACATCATCATAGACGTCAAGCATCTGGTGCCACACACAATTTCCCTCACAATCTGTCTAGGCAACTGCAACAGTCAGCTCATCCGCAGAACCTGTACATGGCCAGTAAGGGATATTCTTGGTCACAGTCACATCAGAATTCGTGGCTTAACTCTAGTCAAAATCAAAGTGGTATAGCCGGTTCGTCGTGGAATCGTGGTCGTTCTGTACCTAATTTGAATCCAATGCATGCTTTAGCTGGTCGTAAGCCAAATACTAATTACAATCATCATCAACATCAATCTACCCCTATGAATTCATCAAAATTTAGACGTAGTACTTCATATCCAGGAAAAGGATTATTCAATCAAAATTCAACAACGTTTGATATTAACAACATCGATGAGACAGACGTAATGAGTTATCAGGTAAGATTTTTAAATCATTTTAAGTTATAATTCATTTTAGTACTTAGACAGTTAAGTATTTATTGTCAAGGCAGAATATCAGGAGCCAGGAGACGATCCGGTGATTTACATTTAAAATCATCACTATGTTTTTATATATTACAATTTAAAATTTATTAAATTAAAAATTTGTTTTCTAGTCCTCTTATTTTTTTAATTCTTAACAATGGCTTTGTTTATCAATAAGAATATTTTACATTTTGATAATTTAAGTTAGCTTATAAGAAATTTAAACAATTAAACAAACTATCAATATATTTAAGATATGTATCTATACAAAAATAACAAAAAATTGTGCTCATTAGTGACGATAGGGGTTTTTCTATAGGTATTTATTTAGTACTTTTCTGTATTAAATCAACCTTGTAATTTCATAGTTGATAGTAAATATATATAAATATTTTCATACATAAATATTTTTAATTTCATTCATGAATATGATTAATGAATACATAATTTTAGAACTATGAAGCATCAAGCAATAGATACTTATTAGATTTTTAGTGCAGTAACAAATTTATTAGTTTTAACTCTTATTTATGGAAGATCAAGCCAAGTTTGAATTTTAAATAGTTAACACGTAGGTGATTTTTATTTTTGGTATGTTTCTATTTGATAGGAAACATTTTAAAGAAATGTCATCAAGTGCGATTTTGCTAATCATTATTTTTCATTACCACGGCAGCATGGTCCATGACTTATCAAATTTATTATGATTTACTTATTTAGTTGATACGGCAGTTATTCACAACACACCAGTATCTTGCATTGTGATACGATTAAAGAGCCAAATCGATACAAATAACAATGTGCTTTATTGTGTCTATTTAATCAAAATGTCACATGAGTTTATGGCATTGACATCTGATCAGTGTCAAGTTATTACCTTGATACATATTGTTTTAAAATGTCCAGCCAATTTATAATCTTTTATAGATACATGAATGAATTTCCAAGAAAACTTACTATTTTAAAATGGTAGCAATAATTTAAGTAATGCAACATTTATAACATTACTACCTTTAGGTTCAGTAGATTTTTTAAGGAATTATCACTGGGCAGCAAAAAATATATTTTCAAAATCAATATTAAATTATAGTGTGATTATTTCATGCTCGCCCCTCATAATTATTGAAAATAAATATGAATGCTAGAAAGTAGAAATAAATGGTAAAAGTTAATAAAAATGAGTTATAATTATAAGAAGAAATTTCAAGAAAGATATAATATTTATTCATTACTTAATTATTTTTTTTACATTTGAAAATTGTGTCACCCAGTCTTTAAAATGAAAATATTTTGTCACCTAGCATACTAGTTAAAAAAATTCATTGTTACTCGGTATAAAATTGTCATAAATAATTCGATCATGTATCCAGTTATTTTTCATCAATATTTTGACATACACAATCCACTTCAATACATAGTATAATATATAAAATACATTACCAATATGGCTTTAACAATAGTCGATAGGTATACAAATACTACACTGAGTAATATTAAAACCACTTTTCCAATTATACAATGAAATTTATAGTTTTCAATTATTGTACAAAAGTTGTTTCTGTAACTTTAAACTTTAATCATGTAGATAAAAACTTTTGAATAAACATATCTTTAATACTACAGTTCAGAGCACAAATGGAAGTTATAATTGTCGAATGATGTAGTCTACAACCTGTGATTCCGTACCAAAATATTTTCGAAGTGTTGCTTTTTCTATAACCATTAACTCGCTTTAATTATTTTAAATTAAAGTATAATACAAGTTACAACACATTTTTCAATTTTAATAGGTACCCATAAATATCTAACATTTGTGTATACTAGTGATACTTGATAGAGGGTGGAGTTAGTTTTATCTTTTATAATAACATTGAACATTAGTTTATCACTAGATTATGATTATTATGTAATAATATGATAATAAAGAATTCTCTTATCATACCCGTTTTCTATAATTAATTTAAAATGTATATAAACGGTATTCAAACTAGCTGATAGACTACAAATAAGATATTATAATATTAATAATATAATATTACTAATTGTATTATTTTTAAAGAGTCACAAGTGATACCTTAGGTTTATTAATAATTTAAACATGTATTCTTTAAGATGTCAGAAATTGTGATAAATAGGACTCTAAAACAAAGTTTAGTAACATCGCTGTTCTAATTTATTGGTAAAATGAAAGCATTTATTCGCTTATTTTAGTGAAGATTAATTTTGTTTTCTTTAAAATTGAATTATTTCCATTTAATTAATCGGTAGACCGATTAGGAAGGTCCAACTGTCCAAGCATTATCCTTAGCTGTTGTTTTATTTGTTACTCTAAGGAAAACTTAGGAAAACAATTCTTATGAGTTATGAGTAATGGCGGCATTATGCCAAGTCTGTTGTTTTTTAACGAACCCTCTTCCGTTCTCTTCTATCTTTTGTGAAAACTGCTTTGGCACTTCCGATTAAACACGTTTTTCTTGCCTATTTAAACCACCACCATATTAAATCCTCCATACCATTATCAGGAACCCTGCGGGATATTGGTAAAATGAATGGCATGCTTAAAATTGTTTGTTATTATTTTTTTACCTTTATTATATGAATTGTAAACCATTCATTTAAAATGTATTTACCGTTTTAATAAAAAAAATTAAAAATATACTTAACTCTGTTAAGAAAAAGGAATAGGTTATATATATTACATTTACAACTATACAAATATATAATTAAAATGTATAATTGGTGATTACGAAACTTTAAATCTCGTATTACTACTATACAAATGTTAAATTTAAACACGCCAAAACTCAAAAATCCAAACAAAATAAAATACCTAGGTAGTTGTATAGCATAGTTCAGCTATAGTTACTACCTATACGTACTTATATACTGTACTTATATAGTTAATATGTAGAGCATGCCAATATTAAACGATAATTTAAATATCATAAATTGTTGTTTAGTTTTGACGAATTACTATTGATATGATTATAACCTTCGGAATCTAGGAAATTTTACTTATTTTTCACCATTTCCCGGTGGCTTTGAATGAAGATCCAAACAATTCGATTAAACTACTAATAATAGAAAGGTTTGACATTTTATTTTTTGAATATAAAGAAAATTATTAAGATAATTTATTAATACAATAATTATTACCTACAACTAAACATTAAATTATTTTTATTGTTTATTCAGATATCCGTTCATTTTAATATAATATCATGTGTCTCATTTTGTTTCTGCACCCCTGTAATGTATTTAAAAAAACTATAAATGTATACATACGTAGCTAATAGATAATTTATGGGTTATTGATTAATGAATAACATTGAATTATATTTTCTTGTTAGGAATTATAAAAAAATGTAATAAATATTTCATATTTATGACAATTATACATAGAAACTAAAAAAAATATAAGAAGATATCAATAAGATGCTTGGTCTTCAATGAAATATTTAAAAAACAATTTTTTTAGACGTTTTTTTATTTCTAATTAAGTTTAATTATTTAATTATTTTTTCTTAAACTAAAAAAGTACGCCATTTAAATAATTTAATAATTTATACTTTCCATTCCTTTTTAGACCAACTATTTATCCGTATTAATAATATTGTATATTTTAAATGGAGACTGGGTATAATCAATTAATTTTTACCGGGGTTTTATTTCGTATGTACATGGCGTTTTGTCAAAATGATTACACATTCATACCAGTCATTCCTTCACGTCGCACTGTAACTCTCCTCCACGAAGAGTTAAGCAATTTGTGTAATAATTGTGCTATAAGGTAAAACAATACTAGACATTTATAAGCTGAATTCCATTCAGTGAAGTTTCACATAAAAGTTCTCTTAAGAAGATTTACCTCTTTAAATGTTTGTAGTCTTATTACAATGGCCATATCCCCGAATTTCAATTCATTTTGAAACTATTTATTATTCGCTGAAGTAGAATCCGTCATTTTCAAAATGTTTTTTGTTAATTGTGTTACAAATGTTATAGTCATAAATAAACGACAAAATTACATTTTTTAATATAGTTTAAATAGTTTGGTTGTATTCAATAGTATTTACTTATTGTATAGGTAAATCAAATATTTTTAATTTATAATCAAATCTAAAAACGAAAACCAGGTTGTCATATTGATGTAGTGTTTTTTCGTTGTTGTTGGGGTTTTTTTTGATACATTGTTTCAAAAGGTAGCCGACGCAGGCGTTAAGAAGACCCTCCGGCTGTACGGTCAATAAAAATAGTGGCCCCGCCGGCGGCGCGTGGACGACGGGCGGCTTTACTACGAATAACCTCTCGGGTTCGCCACGTTGCAATGTGCACATACACGCGCGCTTGGCAAATGACACAGGGGTGTGTGCCGACTGGCGGGTGTACAGACCATAGATATATAGAAGGTACTAACTAATGCACGTCAAAAGAAAAATAATAACACTAAAAGGTCAATTCGTATGTAAACTTCCCCAAAAAAGTCTTTTCGAGAATTTATGAATAAATTTTAATTTATTGTATACGGTCTCAATTAGTTTTACGGCTTTGAAATTTAATATTTATTTTGTATATTATATAGGTATATTGTGTATATATATTATATATAATATTTTAATTTTAAAAACTTGTTGATTAACTATCAAATATGTCTTGACTAGATCTATATAGTGCTTTATTTTATTTGATTAAATACCAGGCAAAGACTTTAAAAATTATATTTTTTATGTTTAATGGTACAATTGTGTTGTTTGTTGTTTAATATTAAGTTTTGGTTAACTTACTGAAAGTTATTGTTTCTTTATGCTTATAAAGTTAATTAATTTTTTTCGTTTATTATACCTACCTCAATAAAATGTGTTTTGTACAGGGTATCAATACTGAAATACTTAATTAATTTCAAACGTTCTTTACCCTAATCCCAAGAATTTTTATTGAACTATTATGTTAAAAAGTTTAAACGTATAAAGTAAATCATAATATGTTAAAAAGTACACAACATATTAAACAATATTTGTGTCTTACGCTTCATTTTAAGAAGTGCCTTCCTAAAGAGCCCCAGTTTCCGTGTATCATATAGTCTATAATATATAAAGTT